CGACTTCGGCTCAGGTCATGATCTCACGGTCCGTGAGTTCGAGCCCCGCGTCGGGCTCTGTGCTGACAGCTCAGAGCCTGGAGCCTGTTTCAGATTCTGTGTCTCCCTCTCTCTGTGCCCCTCCCCTGTTCATGCTCTGTCTGTCTCTGTCTCAAAAATAAATAAACGTTAAAAAAAAAATTAAAAAAAAAAAGTAAATAAACGTAAAAAAAGAAAAAGAAAGTTATTGGACTTCTATATTTATTTTGTAAGTGTTTCTCCTTGGGACTGTTAAAGCCGAACTCTCCAGCTTTAATTATTCTTTGGTTGATGCCTCTGTGTGTTGATTCCCTTTGACTCTGTACTTCCTATGGATCTTGCATGGGGATCTTTCTCTCGGATCTTTTCTGGGATTACCCCAGCCTGCCTTTATCATGCTCTTGACTCTTAGGCTCTGGATCCCTGAAGCTGGGATGGGGGCCTCTCCTTGGCCTTTCCCTGGCTCTGCATAGGACTTCTATCCCAGGACTTAGAACTCTGAATGCCATTTCCTGTTCACCTTTCCTTAACCAGGCTTCCTGATCAGTGAAGGCTTGGAATGGGTTTGGTATTCAGTGGATATTTGTTGAAGGAATAAGTGAATGACTGAAGTATTTGTCTCCTTTCTAGACCTTCCAACTAGCTTTATTGGGAATGCTCTTGGATTTGAGGGTTCCTCCACTTATTTTCCAATTCTTCTGTTGATTTTTTTTTCTTGTCAGTATATGCATACTTTGTGATATTTTTATTTAGCTTTATTTCCTAGTGACTTCCACCAATATTCTATTTTCCAAATAACCGTCAGTTTGACAGTGAAGTGTTTCTTGGTCTAATGCCTAATGACCACATCCACACTCACCTTGTAATCTTCTGTAACATGCTGAGTCTATTGACTTCGATGTTGCTGCCGCTGACTTTGATGACTTTTCCTTCCCTTTCAGATTCAGGCTTCTTCAGGGGAAACCAAATACACTGGGGCTTTGGACTGTGCAAAGAAGCTGTATCAGGAGTCTGGGATCCGAGGCATTTACAAAGGGACAGTGCTCACCCTCATGCGAGGTAACCTTTTAGGTTCTCCACCTGAGGTCACCTTGGTTGGGGGCTCATCTGAGGTGCATCTGCCACAGAGGGTCTTACCTGGGTCCCCAGATTAGCTTTGGCACCATGCAAACCACACTTATGGCTGAGAAGGCTGGCATGGTGTGCCCTGGTTTTAGGCAGTCTCACCCAAGCCGGCATGGACACAAATGAGGATGGGGGCAGGGGGAACCAACATCCTTCTGGCAGGCTGGCCCTCAAGGATGTATTAAGACAGTGGCAGTTACAGGGGACTGGAAAGTAGGTAGAAATCATGGCTGGAGGGATGAGTGGGAGGAAAGAATGACTTAAGGACACTGGGGCTCACCATGGTTTCGAGAGGCATGTTCTGCTGGGGTGGCAGTAGGAAAGGCAGACACAGCCTCATCCTTGTCCTAACGTGGTAGCTTGGAGGAAGGCCAGAGACTAGCAGTACTTGTAACTTGGAGTGGGCATGTCAGTGGGGACTACTCAGAAGGGGCTTTGAAGATGAAATGTTGTCATGCATGTTTGTGCTCACTCACACTACTGCTTGCCCCAAAGTGGCATCTAATTACTGCACAGGAGTTAATGCAGATAAGAAGTGCTGCTGAGGACCTTCCCAGGGAGCCTTGAAGGGGCCAGTGCCAAGCTTGACTCTTCTAAATTCAAGAAATCTGTGAGGATTTTATATCATTTAATTCACCTCTTTCTTGCTGCTAACAGATGTTCCAGCCAGTGGGATGTATTTCATGACATATGAGTGGCTGAAAAATATCTTCACTCCAGAGGGAAAGAGGTAAGGAGAATAGAAGAACTTAGAAGCCACTTTGCTCAGTCATGGGTTGGTTGCCCTTTACTGTAAATGGGTCTGATGGCAGAGTGGGGCTTGCTCCTGGTTCCATATCCACTTAACTCTCCTTGCTGCGGAGACCCATCTAATACCGCTAACTCTGTACCTCACCTACTGGAGCAAGTATATAAAACAAGTTCATGAAACTTCCTCCAAGGAGTGGCAGCTGCCATGTCACAGGAGCCCTGGCCTTGGACCTCCTCCCTCTGGCCAGTTTCTCCCTCTCTCTAACTGCCCCATCTGCCATAGGAGGGATGGTCTAGACGCCACTCTCACAGCCTTTGTCTGACTGCGGTTGGTATTCTGCGGTTGGTATTCTGCAGTGTCAGTGAGCTCAGCGTGCCTCGGATCCTGGTGGCTGGGGGCATTGCTGGGATCTTCAACTGGGCTGTGGCAATCCCCCCGGACGTGCTCAAGTCCCGCTTCCAGACTGGTTAGTGGAGGGTCGTGGGGTAGATGAGGGTGGAGTGGGTCCCAGCACTGGCTGCCCCTGGGGTGCAGAGCTCTTAGGGCCCTGAAGATACTCACTCTCCACAGCAGCACCCAGCATCTGTCTGATCAACATTTTCCCTTGTAGTCATTTGTGTTCTAGGAACCCTAGACTCACTTCCTGTTGGCCAAAACACAAAATAAGTGAGGTAAGCAGTCAAATCAACTCTTCTGCCTTCACATGAGCAGAGGATTATTTCATTCTTTATTCTTCTCCACTCCCTTAGCATCAGTAATCCAGACAGTGTGTCTGTTTCTCCCAAAGTGAACTGTGTTGTCTGTGGACTTGTCCCAGATGACCTGCAAGGTGTCTTCTTCCTGATGCTGTCACCCTGCAGGAAGACTTGACTACAAAATTGTCCCCACGTGGGTCATCATGGTTAGGTCAGGAAGCTTCCTAAAGCCTTAACAGTTGGATTTCACCCACAGCACCTCCTGGAAAATATCCTAACGGTTTCAGAGATGTGCTGAGAGAGCTGATCCGGGATGAAGGAGTCACATCTTTGTATAAGGGATTCAATGCAGTGATGATCCGAGCCTTTCCAGCCAACGCGGTGAGTGGCAGACAGAGGCTGTACTTTCCCTTTGGAGCTTAGAGCAGGGTCCAAAGTCTAGGTGGGTTGACTTTTGCTTGCTCCTAGGATTAGATTGGGAGCTCAGTTTTCCCCAAATCCTACCCTCAGCCAGAGCCTCCTTATTTGCTTCCTTTCCTGAAGCTTCAGGAGGGTTTGTCTTTGGGATTCTCTGAGGGGAGGGGCTTTGATTTCCGTCTTGGCCATCAGAAGTGGGCAATTGTGAAACATGGATGTTCTTCCCCTCTCAGGAATGAGAAAGCACAGCTTAATTCCCTGACCTGGGGTAGGAATGAAGTTAGGGAGGGTCCTGATGAAGTTAGGGAGTAGTTCTGGTCCTGACAGGGTTAGCTGTGGTCTCTGTGATAGTCACAACGCCTGCTGGTTTTTCTCTTCCTTCCAACCCCTTCTCAGGCCTGTTTCCTTGGCTTTGAAGTTGCCATGAAGTTCCTTAACTGGGCCACTCCCAACTTGTGAGGCTGAAGGCTGCTCGAGGCTTCTGGATGATGGAAGCTATCACCGAGGAAGAAGCAGTGGGCAGGACTAGTCAGTCCTGAAGGGCAAAAGGAGGGGAATGGTGGGATCAGAGCTGTGTGCATGGACTTGTTGAGACCATTGCCTTAATGACATCCTCTACCTGGTATAACTTGGTCTGCCACTTTGAGACTTGAATTTACTCTTGTCAGTTTAAGGGATCTCAAGAGGATTTGGAGGTGGAGTAAGTAGCTTTCAGACCAGATACGACCTGTGGTCAGAGAGCTGTCTACTGGTTGACTACAGGCCCTATTATACCCAAAATACTCCTCGAGAAAGAGGGAATCTCAGCGTCTCACTGGAGGCACTATGCATGTTTTCAAACAGCTGACCAGGAGCTGGGGTGTTCTTCAATCCCTACCAAGGAACACACACCAGGTTTCCAGGGTATCATATAATCCTGGCCTGCATGTGAGGATGTGGACTTGAGGCCCACATCTCTCTGTCCAAGTGGACTGAACAAATGTGCCTAGGGGCAGATAGCCTGTTAACAGTTTGATTTTTTTTTTTTTTTAATGCATTCAGGTAATCAAAACTTAAACTAAGTAGCCCAATTTCCCAGGAGTAAATGGAGAGCTTTCCCTTCTGCAGAGTGAGGAGGGTTTGGAATCAACAGTCTGAGCCCTGCTGAGATAAGTGACAAAACCTAGGGTGTAGAAAAGGCCATTTTTGCACACTCTTTTCTCATGAGAGCACCCTCTTTTAACAGGAAACAATAAATATTGTTTCTAATTTTTGCATTGTGTGAAATTTTCTTTTGATTTGGGTCATTTCAACAGGTAGCCTGTAGCCTTGACTGAGGCTGTCAGGGATCTGGTATCTGTCCTTCGTGGCTTCAGGCAGGGGCTTCAGCAGGAGAAAGAGGAAGAAGTTTTGGCTAGCCCAGCCTTCCCTGATGTCCCAACAGCAGCTGCTTGATGGGGAAGGGTGTGGGGGTACCAGGTGACTTGATTGCTAATTGTTCCCACAGTTCTCAGTACAAGCCTGCATTCTTTTCTTCTCTTCATTCTTTTATCTCTCTGCCCTCAGCCACATGGCTGTCTGAGCTAACAGAGAGTTGATTGTTCTAAAAGCCAAAATCAATCTTGACTCTTCATATGGTTATTGGGGTCACTGTGATCTGATGTCACCAAATGGGCCTTGCTAATTAGACAAATTGATGCCTAGGTGCATCCAGAGGAGGTGAAGGAGACAAATTAGTTTGTCCTTGTCTGGTGGATGGCAAGGCTACAGGAGCTGGGCTTCTCTGGCGTTGTCTCATCTGGCAGTTCCAGTTCTGCTGGCACTTCCCACCTTACTGCAGCTGCACAGAGATCCTTGGACTTTGGCTTTAGAGCCATCACTCTGCATAAAGGGGTGAGGGGGTAGGGACCCACCCCCATCTGGGAGTGGATATGGCCAGTTGGGCAGGAAGCTGAAGATTTGGGGGTTTAAGGAAGGACACTTTCTTCCAGGGAACATATTTTGGATGACCAGATAGGAATTATAGTCAAGTAAAACAAAACAAAAAACATTTAGAGATGAAAATTGTGTGCCCTCTGCTTGGGAAGATTAATTCAGTGTTACACCTGCCCCCTCATTCTGCAGGATGTCTTTAATTTCTCACTGGTTTGGAGATGGCCACATATGTGTTTCCTGAAGCTCTTCTCGGGAGCACCCTGTCCTTGAGACAGTGCTGCAACCTCAGCCTTTGCCTGGAAGCCCATGTGAGTGCATTTACGTTCCAGCCAAATGACAGTCATTCCCATGGCTCAGGATCACTTTTACAGTCTGTGCTTCTGGATAATTTGCCCTTTGAAACAACTTCCATTTTAAAATGGAATGTTTTGGTTCCTTGATGTTAGTGGTGGTAGATTCTTTTACTCCTTTGGTTGTTCGGTAGGTGTTAAGTCAAATAGGGAAGCCCCAGGAGGCATATTTGTGAAGGGAGCAGAACAGATGGTGAGTAACTCCCTCCTGACTGGCACTTCCTTTTTATGATGCACTTTGAAATGCCACCTGTTCCTGATATATCTTTTCTCTCCCTGATGGGGATAGGTGGGGGAAGAGGTTGGGGCCCTCCTCAGCAATTTCTCTGACTGTCACAGTCTTAAGGTAGAAGTGAGACGCAAGTGTTAAAACAACCAACTGGTGATAACGGCCTCACCCAGGCACAAAGCAGAGTATAAGTGGGTCAAAGGTGAGAGGCAGATGGTGGGATGTTGCAACAAGCCTATTAGAAGCAACACTAGTGGGGCATCTGGGTGTCTCAGTCGGTTGAATGTCCAACTCTTGATCCCAGGGCTGTGGGATCGAGCACCGCATTGGGCTCTGCCCTGAGCATAGAGCCTGCTTAAGTTTCTCTCTCTCTGCCTCTCTCCCCCACTTGTGTGCTCTCGCTCTCTCTCTCTCTCAAAAAAAAAAAAACAAAAACAAAAACAACAGTAATACCATTTCTGCTGTAAGGTCATATTATCTCAACACATAATTCTTTCCCTACAGTTCTTTTGAGTCTGGAACCCCCTATGCCCTTTCTAACCTTTTCATTGGTTTGGTCTTATTTCTTTATCCCCATGTAACTCAATGTTTAGTGGGCAAGAATTTTTACCCCCACTTTCAGATATGGAAGCTATGGCTCAGACAGGATAAACTGATCTGTCAAGATCATTGGCAAATTGATAATAGAGGACAGGTAATAGAGTGAGGTCTGGGTATCCACAAGCCTGAAGAAAGGCTTGTGATGCTATCAGAGGCTGTCCTGGGGCTGCTTGACCCAAGCTCCAGGAGGCCTGTCTGTGCCACAGGGTCAAAGCCCAGGCATCTGACCTGTGAGTCAGGCCACAGATAGCACACAGTCCCTACAGGCACTGGGAAAGCCCCAGGGCCAGATGTTCCCTGAGGGCTCTCTTTTCTGCTTTCTCTGCTCTGGTGAGCATGTAGGCCTGTGACTCTCCAGCCAGGCTCTGCCTTCCTTTCCAGGTTCAGTCCTTGCCCTGACGGGTCTCTGAGGCAGATCCAAGGTCCACTACAGAGACTGACACTTTCTGGGGACACAGTGTCCTGGGAGGGGGTGGCTCACAGGTACAGAAACACGTGCCTTGGGATTTAACTGCTTCCTGGGGCATGGATGCTTGTTAAAATAGACCAGACTTTCTGGACCAAAGGCAGTGGCCCCATGAGGGAGGCATTATAGAGGCTGAAGGACAGCTTCGGTGATGACAGAGAAAACATAACCTATTTCCCCAATTATTCCTGTCAACGAGGATCATAAACGCTTTTAAGGCAAAATAGAAACTGATGGTGGTAGATACTAAATGAGCTGGGATGACTGACTGGACCAGTGGGGCTGGTGTGCAGAGGTGATCAGGTGACCAATGGGTCCCTGGAGACAAGTAGGGGAATGGAGTGGCTTAGAGATCCCCTTTGGGCAGAGAAGAGGGAGGTGTTGTTGCTGGGGCTGAGTCTCCTCCCCCACCCCCAGCAGGCTGAAGGTATCAGAGGGCAGAGGAGTATAAGCTGGGAGGTCTGAGCCAAGAGCAGCCTTCCAGAGGAGTCTGGGAGAGTTTGGGTGTATCCCTTCTTCCTGGAAAGAGAAAAAAAAAAAACCAAAAAACAAACTTTAAAATAATAAACCTATCAGGGCACCTGGGTGGCTCAGTTGGTTAAGCATCTGACTCTTGATCTCAGCTCGGGTCTTGATCACATTGTTGTGAGTTCAATCAAGATTACATGAAATCCACTGTTTCGTTGGACATAATAGTTGGTGCCCCACCCATGTTCATTTTCACCAGACCCACTACTATGGGGCTAACCATGTACCCCACCTGTATTACTGTGTATCCATAGTTGTAAAATCTCTGATAATTGGCCCCATTGTGTTCATGTCTGCCTGTGGTTGGTGGTGTGGCAGTCTGTGCAAGATTTGACTGCCTGCTGGGTAGTGACTCCTAGGACTGGCTTGGAGCTGAGTGCCTGTCATGTCAGTGCTCTGGGAACTCCTCTTCTCTACCACAGTCTCTGTATTTCTCTTGCTTTTGAGAGTCTCTGTTTTTGGCCTTTTCACCCACCATCACACTGTTGGCAGCTGTTTCCCGGTTACTGGTTGCCTGTGGGTCTGGTTGCCACAGTAACCTCCAATGGTGCAGCTGGACAGGCTTGAACAAAGGCAGTCCTAGGAGGGTAAGGGTAGAAGATGTGGGATTCAGGGCCCTAGTATTCTTTCTCTAGGGTACCCTTCTTTGGCCAGCTCAGCTAGGCATTCATGAAGGCCCTTGAGACTCCACTTACTACAGAAGGGCTTCTTGGAAGGTGCAGGGATGGATCCCTGCTCTTGGACCAGGTGTTAGGGGAGGGGAGCCAAGTAGGGCCTCGAGGCTGGCTGGCTGTCCTTCCTCTCTCTCAGGCTGGTTTGGAACAGCTATGGGTTTCCTGCTTTCTGTTGCTGTCGTTCCTTCCAGTTCCAAAGATGCCCTTTAAATGTCCCGTTTGCTGGATAGATGGTGAAGCTTTGGTGCATCTGAGAGCAAACCGACCTGCTCCTGGCAGAGGCTGATGGAAATTCCTTGGTGTGACTGGGAGAGCCTACCCACACCCAGCTCTGTCATCAGCCCTGGAGTAGCCTTCCTCTATCTTATTTTGTAATTGAGGTCAGAGTCCTAACTGTACAGGCACCTGTCCCCCTTTAAAACATATAAAACCTGAAGAATGAGCAAACTAGGGAGTGGAGTTATGAATTCGCCTTTCCAAAGGGTTGGTCGTAGGATTGTTTGAAGCAGGCAGATCCTCAGGCGTGGTGGTGCAGTGGGAGTCATACCCAGGTTTTCTGGGTATGTTCTGACTCCTGGAAAACTTGGAAGGGTCGGTTTACTCAAGAGCAGAGAAGAGTTGGGGAACCCTGCCCCTTTAGCTTCTTACTGCCTATTCTTAGTGCAGTGTTCATATACTGAGATCAGAAACACAGCTTT